CGTCGTGTCTTCGTACTGAGAGTGGCGTTCACCTTGCCCTCGGCTCTGGCTTGTTGAGCTAGTTCGTAGGTGCATCGTCCTTCACTTGTCGAGCCGCTGGCCAGGCTGATGCGCACGCGGAGCACCTTCGCAGCCAACGCGCCGTGGCGGCTGAAAAGGCGGAAGAGGCCTGGAGGCGGTGCAAGGCCAAAGTTCGAAGTCAGAGGAAACCTCGAACCCTTGAGGTGAGGGCACAGATACGTGCCAAACAGCAAGGAGGCGCTCTGGACTCTGTTTCTTTGCGTCCATGGTTCAGGGTGCCCATAAACTTCCATCCGTACCGTGGCAGAGACACAGGAAGTATCCGAGCCCAAACAAAGCGCTCAGCCGCAGCATGCCGCAGCTATCGCGAGCAGGTCCCTCCAACTCCGCAGCTGCCGAGGCGGGTGGTGTGGGCACGCTGTCGAGCCATACTCATATGAACATATATATGAACTAGTAGCTAGACTCGTCCTGCCTGCCAGCCTACTGGTTTCAGGTTTCAAGGCAAGTCCCAGTGAGCCCTCTTCTGTGCATTCCGAGATGTCAGCTTCGAAACGCAATGAAAAAGAGATCTTAAGACCAGCCAGCACTCGGAACGGCTCGGCGCGCAGCAGGAGTTGTGCCGGTCCTCGGCAGAGGCACGGGAGCTTGCACTGCCCGAAATCCAGATGCTTCTGCGCCAGGATTTCATCGGCTACAATAGTCGATTCAATAGTCGATAGTCAATAGTCGAAACGGTGATGGTGATGGTGGTGATGATGCTGAAGATGATGATAAGGGTCATGGTGAGGATGCGCGCTGGCAGCATCACATGATCTTCGTGATCACCACCCTCAGCATCGTCCTTTCATCATCGCCACTGCCATGGGCAACGTTGCGCCACGGTCACCCTCAGTGACCGTAAGCAAACATGGGTTTCTGGAGTCAGGGTGAGCCAGCAGTACAGTATGCAAAAGGGTGGGCACGAGGGTGAGACGGATGGTCTTGAGTGTTATACATCTTCCCGAGGTGTCGTCTGTGCTGGGTGGGCCTTTAAGTCCAGATGGCTCTTAAGCCGGCAGATTTTTCTGCGAAAGCATGTGTAGAAGTAGCCTGTATTCACATCGCGAGAAGTCATGTGTTTCGGCTCCCTGCTCAGTCTTGCCACGCAAGCTACCCGTAGCGTAACGAGGCTTGCGTTTGTATCCGCGTCAGCAGTGGTCCTGGACCACGGGCTGAGCCGCGAGCGAATTGATATATCGAGCAAACTCCCGACCCTCCCCCTCGCTCCGGTGATGAAGCTTCGGATAGCAGCGTTGCATTTCCATCTCTTCATCAAGTTGCCGGCATTCTTGCCAATCTCTTTCGCACAACTTCAAGCCTTCACCCGAACCTACCTCAAAATCTGTTGTTCATCCACGGACGCCCGAAAATCATTGTCAAGCTTCCCATTCTACACCCTGATCAGGCCATAAAGCACTATGTCGGATTTCGCATGGGTTTGGACGAGGCCTGCGCAGCAGGAAGCCGTGTGCATAGGATGCTCGCACGCTGCGAACACAGACACAGAGAGTGGTGTTGGCCTTCAAAACCGCGCGAGGGGGGGGGGGGGGGGGTGGCCTGGTAGAGCGAGAGAGAGTGGTGTAGGCGTGTCTTTCCTGGTCGTGGTCTTTCTCCAAAACGGTAGGAAGCAAGGAAGGAAGAGCCCGCATGTTTAGTGTATTCCCTTCTTGGGCACGCCCTACAGTTGTTTCAAAAAGAGTGAGAGGCTTGGGGACACTGAACGAGAGGGCGCCGCTCAACTGCCTGCCTCACCTCAGCGTGCCCCATTTTTAGCAGTCCCACTTCCGAGGTTCGTGGGACTGCTGAAAAATTACAAAGAAGCAGAGACTGCTTCAACTCCTGCTCTGCCGTGCCAAATAGCACAAGAGAGAGACAACAAAAACACCACCACCACCACTGCCGCCACCACCCACCAAGCAACTACTAATTACTAACGATTAAACTACTAACTACTACCTACTACTAGTTACTAAGTGCAAAATACCAACAACTAACAACTCGCGACTAACGACTGACGACTACCTGCTACCTGCTCCCTACAAACTACTAACAACTACTAACGGTAAACGATGAACGAATAAGGATTAACGACTAAATACAACCTACCACCCACTAACATCTGACAACTAACTATTGTCTACCAACCACGAAGCTACGAACCACGAATTACTGAGTATTAAGTACGAACTACGCACTACGACCTGCGAAATGCGAACTTCTGCTACAGCTACTACTACAGCTACTACT